TTTACCATAGATTGCTGTGCCCTGTGCTAGAAGGGTTCCATTCACCATCATAAAATGGCAGCTGCAATGCGAGTACAGTGGTTGATTCCTGTCTAGAGTCATCTCACTCTCTGTCAAACACTCCCATCAACAGGATCCTTACAGGAGCATCTTACACACCCATGGTCTTTTATAGAGCCTGGTTATTCCACTGGGCTCCTCTTCCATCACTATGTCATGGAGAAGTGGATACGTGTTGGCATTCCTCTAGAGGGTTTTAATTGCTGAAGCTTACAAAAGCTCTCTGGTTTCACATGGATGTGACGCTGTTCTTCAGCACCCACCTGGGAATGAGCACAGTAAAGTAGTCTGAGTGTCTTCTATGAGCCAGCAGGGGGAGTGAGGAACTGGGAGGCAAGAAGAGCTTGGTTCAGCCCAGCCTTGTGACACTACGCAAAATTTAGGTCTGTTAAGTCTGAGTCTTTAGGGTTGAAGATTAAATGAGATACTATGGAAACGGCAGTTGTTATTATTTCTTGCACAGCAGAGTGTCAAGAAATGTTCTCTCTCTTCTCCCTTAGTGACCATGAAAGGATGTTCTAGAACAATGTTCCTTGCACACTTTATGTGAGAAGTCACAAGGTAGATGGCACTTCTCTCCTTATACTCATGTCGACATTGAATCTCTTGTTTGGAGGCCAGGGTACCTCGTGCCATGCTTGTCTCCTTCCTTGCTTCTCATCAACACCTTGCTAACCTGAGTCTAACCCTACCAGGAGAGGGGTTTGCAAGGCAATGGGGGGCCACTCTGATGCTCTCGACCCTGCCCAGATATCTTTAGCCATGAAAAAACAGGACTGAGACACCTGATTTTTGTTTGTTGTTTAATGCAGCTTAATGAAAAAGAGCTTCAAATAGCAACAAAAATCCAAGAGCAAAGTTGGCTGAATCCCACCATCCATCTAACCAGTATCTGTGTTACCTTCCGGTTAGTTCCCGTATCCCTCACCAATATTTCAATATTTACAGTAATAATAGAGCTAGAATGGTGTTTTGGTTTTTTACTGTTTGTTGTGCTATACCATATCCAACCCCTTTTTTTTCATTTGGTGGAATCTTTATTTTTCCCTCATTTGTTCCCTTTCTCTTAACCCTCTGGCACCCCTTGCCCCTCGCCTCACCCTCAGGCAGCGTGGACAGGCTGGGCGTGTTTGCAGGCACCTTTCTCTATACAAACCCACTTGGGTTTATGGTACATACACTGTGATATTTGTTGCTTTTTTCTTTCAGAAAAATAGGTATTACTATTGTCACTTATCTACATGCAGTTATTTCTACACGAACTTGAAGGTCATGTTCATGTAGAAATAACTACAGGGTGCCTGTAGACTGGGTGTGAGTGGCCCCAGAGCCAGGCCCCCTCTGGAGCTCTGCCAGGACTAGGCTCCGGCACACAAGCCCAGTGTCTCTCTGCAGAGGGTCCCTAATGCCGACAGGAGCATCTTGGAGCCGCATTTCAGGCTGAAGCTGTCCATGTTGAGTTACTGCATCGTTTGTTTTCCCGTTTTTCTCTGAAGCCATGTGACGGGAACTGATAGGTTCACACTCCTTTCATTCCTTAGGTTAATCTTGGCTTTGTTGTGGCCATTTGATATATTTGTTTTACTATCACAGAGTCAGTGATGTGATGCCCTTGGAGAATCCCCATATGGATTTCATTGGGCTTTTGTGCCTTTCTCGGGCACTTCTTTTGAGCTAGTAATGTTCTCAGTTCTGTATCTATATTAGGGCATGTGACTAAATGGCATTAGGTCTAAAGATTTATGTACGACAGTCCAGCTATTTGCCAGCCTAAGTTCTATATCAGGGATGATGACTTGTGATTTATTAGATTGAAGGTACTCTCAGTTACAGACAAGATCTTCCCGGACTCCTAATTCCAAATGTTTGTTATTTCCCATATTCTCTGTCTTCTTGTGGTTTGAACATGATACTCCTTCACCAGAGAGAAGACACAAGAATTGTGCATGGAGAGGGTATTTGAGACCTTGCTTCTTAGCAATTGTTATCAGTTTGACTTAAATAAACTCATAAAAATTCTCAAAAAAAAAAAAGAAAAAGAAAAAGAATGGTCCATGGAGTTCCTGACAGCCGGCCCATCTTTTCACTTATGAACAAAACTGTCATCAGAGGAAAACAAGTCAAAGCCAGGAACAGAGTCCAACAAGAAAAGGGAGTAGTGCCCTGCCTCCACCATCACCTTTCTCTCTCCCTCCGAAAGTGATCCCGAGTGACTTTCAGTTAAAGAAGCTCAGGAAGCTCTGGGCTGCCTGGTAGAGTTCAATTTCTATAAGAGATGCTGATATCAGAGGCTGAGATACACTGATTTCAAAACTAATAAACTATGGGAATTAATTTTGATAGAAAGGCGCATGTAATTTCCTGTTGCAACTCATATGTCAGTACGCCATCATCTGCCCTGAACTACCTTAATTGGATTCCCAGCATACTGGCCTCTTCCTTCATTCATCCTCAGTATTGGGACCAGAGTGATCTTTTTGAACTAAAAATATCATCATGCCATTTTCCACCAAACCCCTGCTTAAAACACTATTAAGGGCTTTGCATTTCTCTTAGGAGGAAGATCAGAATCAGAAACTTGCCCCACAAGTCTTAACACGTTACTTTCTCCCCTCTAGTCTCATTTCATAACATGGTCCTACCGTGTCTGTAGCCTCAGCCGCTTTCAACGGCACCGGCCACTTCTGCCACAGGGCCCTTGCACCTCCGTTTCCTCTGTCCTCACGGCACAGACTCCTCATCTCCATGGCATTCACTCATGTCCTTTGTTTGGTTCATTTAGTTCTTTGCTTTAGGCCTTCTCAGCTCAGATATCACTTCTTCTGGGAGGCCTTCCTTAAGGTTCTTAATCAGATCAGAACTTCAGTGTGTCACCTCTCCCTATTGTACACGCTTGTAATACCATGCGCGCTCCTTCCTGTCACCCCCTAGAATGACTTTTATTTGTGAGATTGTTTATTTAGAGCTACCTGCTTCCCTGGCTGGTGTGACTCAGTGAACTGAGCACTGGCCTGCAAACTGAAAGATCACAGGTTTGATTCCCCATGAGGACACATGCCTGGGTCGTGGGCCAGGTTCCTAGCTGGGGGCGCATGAGGGGCAACCGGCTGATGTTTCTATCCCTGTCTTTCTCCCTCCCTTCCCCTTTCTCTAAAAAACAAATAAAATCTTTAAAAAAATAATCTTAGCTACTCCTTGGGACACTTGTCCCAAATAATGTGAGGAGATTAAAAAAGTCAGGCTCTTCTTCAAGGGTCAGCTGGCAGTCACTCTGTTGAAAATTCAGAAAACATGGGAATGGAAACTGACCAGAAAAACAATCAGAAACTGACCAGTCCAAGTTGGTTGTCCAAATGAAGGACACGTCAGCAAGAGAGGCTGACATTTATATTTATTAGTGAAGGGAATTCGAGTAATTGCACAATGTCTAGACATGTGCATATTTGTTCAGTAGTTTTGAATGGAGTTTCTTTCTTCCCACCCTAGGGGAGGGTTTTTGCGCTGTCCACACCGAGAATGAGCTGCTGAGTTCCCCCCTCACAGTGCATGGCTGGGCATAGATCAGGAGATTAGGTCACGTAGATTCATAGGATTTGAACTGCTTTCTTTTTCCCTGTGGATTAATCTTAAATGTCAGCATTTTAAGCTTGGCCTTTTCAAGACATGCTACCATATAAACCTTAGTTAATCGAAAATACATTTCTGGTTCAGAGTTGTTGTTTTTTTTTTACCCCAGAATGGGAGCGACTAACAAAACAAACAATGCAAGTGCATTAAAGTGTAGGCTGTGCGCAGAGGAAGCTGGTGTTTGTCAAGTGGGTCTAAGAAACTTCATTCCTTAAGAATCTTGACTATAATTCCAAAAGCCTTTTTTTTAAACAGGTCTGGAATTTTATAAAGCAAACTTGATCTTCTCCTACCCACCTGCAGGAAATTTAGAATCGTATGATTCTAAACAAGCTTTAAAAGGGGTATTGCTAGTCTTCTACAGTTACATTGTTTTTACAGCCTTTTGTTTGGATATAGAATTTTACAGATTATCAGTTACTCGCGTATCTTTTATAACAACCCTTTGACTTAAGACAGGGAGGTATTATGAGCATTTGCTGGACCAAAGGAGGCTGAATGACATGTTTGGCATCATCTAACCTGTGAATGGCATACTGAGTTTCAGGTGTGGAGGAGCCACTGATGTTTTACCCACATGTAATGACTGAAATGGAATCTGGAGGCATGGATTCAAGCATCAGGGCTGCTGCTAACTGGCTTTGTTAACCTTCAGCAGATGATTAAACCTCTCTTGACGAAGCATCTTCATCTGTAAGATGGATGAACAATTTCTACTTTTCTCACCAGACTAAGATCCTGTAAAGGATAAAATGAGATCATTTTGTTATAGTAAAAAAATAGCTGAATTATAAAAGAACTAACCATCATTACCTTAACTAATAGTAGGGCTGAGCCCCATGGCATATAGGTGTACAGCGAGGTGCCTCCTGTCCTTTCTCTGGCATGGTCGGGGAGCCAGAATAAAAAGGGGCCTCAGAGGCTCTGAACACTGGGGAAGTGGTCCAGGACCATGACAAGTGGGGGGATATTTAAAGCTGTATACACCTTATTTTATTCATGTGGATGGTAAGACTCTAAGCAAAGTGATCAGAGGAACTGAATATCAACTTGGAGCTCATAATCAAACACTTAATTTTTCCAACCTAGAAACTCTTGGTAGTTGGTGCCCTGCAGATTTGGAGAGCATCCATCCTAGTAGATGCCTGTCTGCCAGGGGGTGTCATGGGGATTCTGTCAGATACAGACGGATCCTCCCCATGGCAGGAGGGGCCAGAGCTGCTGTGACCCCGGAGCCAGCAACCAAGACCCAGCCCCCAGGGCAGAGCAGCCAGGCCCAGACTCCCTCCCTCTGACGCTGGGCTGTTTTTCAGGGCGACGTGCAGAGGACATTCATCCAAGTGGACTTCGGTGACGGCATTGCCGTGTCTTACGTCAACCTCAGCTCCATGGAAGATGGGATCAAACACGTCTACCACAATGTGGGCATTTTCCGAGTGACCGTGCAGGTGGACAACAGTCTCGGGTCTGACAGCGCCGTCCTGTACTTACATGTAACTTGTATGTGGTTACTGTTGTTGATTTATGACATAATTTAAATGTCGTGTCCTTTTAAAATATAATCCCAAGTTTCCTATCTAGAAGAAGCTTGCTAGTTACTTTTTAGCAGGACGGGGAAGGAGAATAAGAGGGCCCAGTGGGGAGAAAGTAAGAAGAAAGACAGGGAGTGGAATTTGAATAATCTTGCACTCTGGTTTGCTTCAGATTTTTTTTCATTGCATTTACTGTGCTTCTTCCAGGTGCCTGAGCACCCGAGATACAGCACCCGTGTCTGGAGGCTAGGCCCCAGCAGCCTGCTAAGCTATTTGATTGAATATGAATTTGTCCCTTTTGGGGGGCGTCAGAAATGTTTGAAAACAAGCCATTTGTATGGCCAATCTAATGTATGGAGAATTCGCATCAGTAAAGGAATTTCTCCTCATTTGATTATTCTTCTCCCACATTCTGTCTGCCTATTAATATTTTTTAGATTTCTGCTCTTTTAAAGAGTGTGTTTCCTGGGATTTATCTGGAGATGATGTGTTGTTAGAGAGAAGGTGGTATAGAGGGAAAAAGTGTAAACTATTTTAAGGAAGCCGCACTAGGAAACAGTTCCAAGAAATGTTAAAGCTTTTCCCCATTAAGGAATGTATGGGTGTACTAAGTTATGTTGACTGGTAATGCCTTTTACAGTAGGTTTGTGAGTGTCCCCAGGTAGACATAGGACTTGTTTAAGTTGCTAGAGAAATAGTTTACTTCCAAATGAATGTAGCTCCTTTCTATGAAGGGCCTTTTTCAAATTAATTCTGAGTTCTAGGCCAAGAGTATTAAGGCTGGGCAGTAGTCCATGCCACTCACCTGCCCCTTGCCACTGAACCCAACTGGGCACAGAATGTGCTCATTAAAATAGTTTTCAAGTGGCTGCGGTCCAGGGGGAGGGCACACTATTTAGGGATCTTTAAAAGATCATTTGGCCCCTAAATAATCCTGCTGTGTCAGCAACTCTTGATCTTTATCTCCTGTGCACTCATGCCAGAGATGCCTGAAGATACACTCTACCAGCTTCTTTGGGTTTAAACAAAGTTGTACAAGATTCCCAGTCGGCCAACTCCACACCCCACTTTTCAGTTAATTTTTTGTAATTCTCACTGTGTGCCAGGTTTTGTGCTAAACAGATTCTCTATGTGTATAATCTCAGTCCTCAAAACAACCCTGTGAAGTAGACAACATTAGAAACCCTACTTGTAAAAGCTAGTGAGGTCCCAAGAGCTTAGATAACCCGTGTGAAGCTGTGTACCTACTACGTGGCCGAGCCAGGTTTCAGGCTCAGGCCTGCCTGACTCCATCCCCTGCTCCTGATCCGCTAGGGTTACTGTCACTGCCAACAGTGGCGTGGGATTAGAGGAACTAAGTCTCCCCCAGCCCTCATCCTATCCCCCCACATTTTTGCAGATCGTCCTGAAAGAACGTGAATATTTATGTTAGAAGTGGTGGGCTGGCTACACAACTGCATAGGTTCAGGACCTATTTCCTAGCCTCACTTCCTGCCAACCGCCACCCCTGAGCTGTTCGAGATAGACTTCCTGGCGTTGCCTCTTACTAAACAATAGTCTCAAGTGATGACATCATGGGAATGATCATGCAGCTTTCAAAAATACGTCACAAATATTGGTTAGTGAAGTAACTCTCAACCAGATGCCAGTGCATTTGCTGACGGTGGCTATCATTTTCTCCAGTTCTGTAAGGGGGATTTTGGTTAGAAAAGTACTTTTATTCCATATCCCTTGTGCTACTGTACTCTATGCCTAAAGACCAACTTAAAATTCAGCAGTAGCTTCCTGTCTCCATTTCCCAGGGTCTCTCATAGAGTCCTTCACAGCTCACCCTCCCGTTCGGCCTCCTGGTGGATCCCGTCTCATGCCTGAAAGTGATCATGTCCCTAAGGGGTCCCTCCCCACCCCAGCCGTCTCCCGGGTTTACTGAATCCTGGGAAGGAAAAGCAGCACAGAGCTCGCCTGCTCAAGACTAAAGGTTGCTGAAGTCACAACATGTAAAAGAAATGAAAGAAAAGAGCTTCTTTGTTCCCTTGCTTTTTTTCTTTTCTTTTTCTTTTGGTCTCAGTTAGCCTAGTTGACAGGCAAAAGGATTTAACCTTAACCTTAGTGGAAAATGATTCGTAATGGAAAGTCTTGCGTTCTGATTTTAATTTTGTTAGACTCATCTTGGGTTAGGTGCTTGACTGAGCATGCCTCATGTAATGGAACTGCTGGCCCTGGGGACAAGAATTGACTCTTTTGTACTGACTGTATTAAAGGGGATTATTTTAAAGCTTTCATTAATTCACATACATCCAAAACCTAGGAGCAGTTTCAGTGTGTTCGTTAGCGCCTTTCCCCTGAAGGACCCGTGGTGTGCTGCTGCTCACGGGGCCCCCCTTGCTCACCTGGCATCTGTCTGCCACGGCAGGCAGCACTGGCCCTTCTGTGCAGGTGGAGGAAGCAAGGATTGGAGGAGAACTGTGACTTTGGCACCTTTTAAACTAACAGGAAGTCAGAGCAAGACCATAATTGATCCACACCTCCCAACATCTCAAACCTGAAGGGTATCTGGGAATTTTCAGTGCCACAGTGCCAGGATGCGGTGTGGGGGTGAGGGGTGGCATTTAGAAAAATTACAAACAAAAACCGAATGCAGGACTGAGTTGGGAGTTGGAAGATCCAGATACTATCCTGGCCCAGTCACTCCATTTCTCTGAGCCTAGGTTTTTCTCTGTCGCGGTGAGGAATGTACATTGTGTTTCTGAAAGGTTCTGAGGAGTATAGTGTGCTGTGCCCTGTCAACTAGTAAAGCTTAATTGTCAATTATCACAAAGTAGCACATGCACTTGTACTTCATGGGTTCTAAGCAGCAAGTCTCAGCTCAGTTTGCCAGGCCTGCCCTCTGCCCCTTCCACCCAACACCCTCCCCTCTGCCTGCGACTCTCCCCCTATTACCTGTCTTGAACACACTCCCTCCACTTTCTGGTTCAGAAAGGTGATTTGATTCCAAATGAGAGGCTTTTCATACAGGTTTGCAAAGGTCATCAGAAGCAAGTGGAGATGACATTCCTGCTGTAAGGTTTCTAGGACGGGGCCGGCAGCTCTCACCAGGTGGCTGGGCAACCTGTTGGAGCCTGTCCATTGGGAACTCCTTGGGGAAAGTATTCACTCTGCTCTGCTTGTTTCAAACTAAGGGGACGCCCTCCCATGGTGCCACCATTGTTGCCTTGCCAGGGACAGAGAATTTAGAGGACCTGCAGATTTCTGCTCAGAAAGCTGCCCAATCTAAACCAGTCTTGCAGGGAAAAAAAAAAATCACTGAAAACTGCACATTTGCAGAATGGAAGGTAAAAATAAAAAATGAAGTGGATTTTCTAGTCCTTCCCAACCAAGCCTCTCTCTTCAGCTGCCTCCCTACAGTTTTTGGCATTAACACCATACATGGGCATCATCCTTACTGCGGTGTTTGCAGGTGTCTTTCTGTCTCCATCTCAGGGTCAAGTGATCTGTTTCCCAAGGTCCTGGGCAGCTTTGCAACTTTTCACAGGATCATTATATCGGCCAGCAAATGGCCTGTTTGGGTTTTGTAAAGCGTGGTTTAATGAGTCACCTGCCCCAAAATTGCATGACAAAAATGTGGTGTCCTGGGCACCCTCCCTGACCTGCTGAGTTAGAACTCCTGGACATGCAGCTCTGTAGTCTGCTGTGAACAGGTTAGGAGGATCCTCATGCACACTGACGTTCAAGGAGCTCTATTGTAGGGTCTGGTCTTTATACTTGATGTGTTTATTTCTTCTGGTAGATGTTTAAACATTGCAGACAAACAGCAATATGATGCATACACGGTAGTTAATTTGGTGGTCGGAGGAGGTCTATGAGCAGCCCAGAACAATCGGTGCACGCGTGCACACAGACACACATGCACACGATAGTCAGCCAGCTGTTTCCTGGGGCACAGTAGGGGCCAAACATGAAGAGAGCAGGGAAAGCTCATTCACAGGAGGAATTCTGCAGTCCCTCAGCCACCTTGCCAGGAAGACTCATATGGAGTGATGCAGTGCCACCTCCCGATCCTTCTGGGCATTGCAGGCACCTCTCTGATGGAGAAGCACCTGCCTGTTTGTTCAGCTCTAAGCTTGGTGCAGCCAGCCAGCTGGGGCCTCCAGGGGCTGGAGGTTCACTTCCCTGACTCTATTAGGGCAGACCACATGCTCTGTACAGAAGAGAGATGCTTAAGTGGTTTGGGGGCAGCAAGAGGTTTGGGGGCAGCAAGAAGCAGGTATATTAAACATCCAAGAAGTAAGTGAATAGAAGAGGACCTGAGAATCTGAAAGATAAATTCCACTCATTTGTGTGAATGTGTAATGTATGCACATGCAGGGATGAATTCATGCAAATGTGTGTGTGCACTTCAGGGCCCACAGGCCGACCGGCTGTGTGTCCTGAATGCCTCTTAGACCGCCTGGGCTTCTGGTCCTTCCCTGTGTCTCTGTGCCACAGCCCTTTCTAGCTGCTTCTCAGACATGGGGGGCAAACCCTCTGCTCAAGGTCTGTGCACTTGCTCTGCCCTCACCCTGGAGCATCACTGGCAGACACTTGCTGTTCTCCTGTGCTTTATGCAGGTCACTGCTCAAAGGTCACTTCTTCTTCTGAAAGACCTCCCCTGACCGACCTGTCAAAAACAGCACTCTCTCCCCTACCCCACGCCTGCCTCCCTCCATAATACATACACTCCACCTGGTGCCAGGTGTCCCCAGCACCTAGAATAATGCCTGACACATAGTAGCACTCAGAAACTAGTGAAATGAATGAATGACCATATTTCAGTCACAAGATTCAATTTTTGTCATTAATAGGATACATGGGCATCATCCTTACTTTGATGTTCTATTTTTTTTAAAATGTTAAATGATCATAAGTGACAGGGACCAGGAAAATGGTCCCTTTGAGAATGGAACTAAGAGAGGTGATCTAGTTCTCACATTCTAATGGATTTAACTCAGATTTGGGGAGTCAGGAGAACTGTCACACAAGAGGGGACCGTGGAACTGAGACTTGAAGTCTTACAGATGCTGTAACAAAGGTGGTGAAAGCCAAGGCCTTGGGGTGGGACGAGGCATGGCCTGCCAGAGCGAACGGGAAGAGCAGGAACCATGCACTATATGGTGGAATGTGCAGTGTTCATTTTGCAGTGCCCGGATCGTATTTAAGTCATCACTACGTTGTGACTCTTGCTAGCTCTTTTGTTAAAATGGGAAAGTCTTATCAAGCATGTCCCCTGGCCAGCACTTGGGCTCTGGAATCAGGCTGCTTTAGCTCACATCCTGGAAGTGAGGAAGGTCAGCTTTCTCTGTTTGCTCATGTGTAGATGGGGAGGATGGTAGGGCCCGCTTCGTGAGGTTGCTGTGAGGATTAAATGAGAATAAAAAGCTGTTAGCAGGATGCATGGTACACAGTCATCACTCAGTAATGTTGCCCTTTCACTGCCTCATTGAACCACTCCGACTTACGACCCACCCCTTTTTATCATGACTTACAAGCCAGAAAGTCAATTCTGTTCTGTGTGCTGGTCACGAAGCCTCAGATTCCATAGACAGAGAGAAGCAAGCACAAAGGCAGAGACAGGAAGTTAGTTCCCTCGTTACCCAGCCATCGCGAGAGTATCTGCTGTGTCTCAGAAGCTAGGCCAGCCTTATCGGTAAAGGTAAATAAATATGAGGGGCTCTTATCCTCCAAAAGTCTGCAGCCTGTGTTCTCTGTCTCACAGATTTTTGATTAATACCTGTTCAGCTATCATTGTTGTTATAATTAAGTCATGGGGATTTGAATTTTGACCTAGTGAATAGCATAATGAACTTGGCTTTCTAGGACAACCTTGGAACAATCCAGACATAGTCATGACCATTCACTGTGGGAGCATATAACATATATACCTGCAAGAATGAAGTCTCACAAACACGCATACATATTTCAGGGCCTGCAAGGACAACAAGCTACATGTCCTGAATGCCTCTTACATTGCACGAGCATCCTCTCCTGCCCCCATCTCTGCTCTGCAGCCGTTTGGGTTTTCTTACCATTCTGCAAACGTAGACAGCCACTTCCCCATCAAGGCCCATGTGCTCACTGCACCCTCACCCTGGAGCACACATTTTATTCCGGGTGCTGGGACACCTGGCGCTCAAAGCAGCTTATGTATCATTGAGGGAGGCAGGCACTGGACACGTGGAGCAGCAAGTGGGTCAGACTAGGGGTAGGTTAGAGGCAGGGAAATCAGTAACAGAGTCGTAATGGTCCAGGTGAGGGTGTATGGAGTATACGAACCAGCACAGGATCCGGGTGGGTGAGGAGAGCTCTGAGAGATATTTATGAAACCAAATCAGTGGTTTCCTAAGTGGGTGTAGATGGTAGTAAATAAGCTATCTAGACTAACTTTCTGCTTGTGGGTTGCTCCCCTGGGTAAACATTGGTTTTATTAGCCGATATTTGGAGACTACAGACAGGGGGGAAATCGTGGGCTTTTAATGGAGTCCGGAGTCAGGAAGGTGGTTTTGGAACCCTCAGCAGGTAGCTGATAGTTGAAGGTCAGAGTGTGGATGGCAGTGCTCAGTGGGAGACCTTATGGAGGGAGACGAGCCAGAGGCAGCGTCCTGGGAAACACACGTAACAGTCGAGCAGAAGAAGAGGCAGCGACTGAGCAGGCGGGAGGGCCCGAGGTGCCGCTTCCTTCTCCAACTCGTGGAATGACGGTGGCAATGACAGATTTCTGTCATGTTCGCCTCAGAGGAAAAGGCATATTTTCTTGGGCACAGTGACTCAAGGAGAAAGTCACACATAGGCCATAGGAAAGGTCCTAGTGATTCTCTACGAGGAGGATATTTCTGACTTTGCGGGCTTGTTCAGCTGGTTAAGGTTTCTGGTCTAATCGGCCTCCATGGACAGAATTATCCTTTTTTAGTGAGCATGTCCTGAGACACGGAGAACCGCAGAGCCCCCTGCCCACTCACTGCCTTTGTCCTAGACAAGCCTAAGTCAACACCAAACACAGTCTGTCCCGCACTTACCTACCCAGGTGGCTTTACAGACAGGCACGTGCACACACACACACACACACACACACACACTTACACACAGAGATCTTTAAATCTAGTAGGTAATAAAGAATAATTCCTCCCGCCCTCACCACCCAACATGGATCCTAGGAGATTTTCACCATCCTCGTTTACCGCCGAGGCTATACCCTCTTGGAGACACTTGGCATTTCCCTGTCAAATCCCCTCGCAGGCCTGTTCATTAAGGACTTCATAAATTACTTACAGATTTTTAAGCTTTTACCCATACATGACTCAGATTTTAGGCCTGGAAGAAAGTCAGTAAATGGACAATGTTGAGATGTAATTATTCCCAGTGTATCCTTTTCTCTAAAGCAGAGAAAGCTCCTGAGCACTTTTCTCGGGTAACAGGACTTGTGTTTCGGGGGCTTCCAGAATGGACTGTGTATTCTCCTCAGGGCAGAGGAGGTGGAACCAAGAAAGCTCTTCCCACTCTATGTGTCCTCTCTTCTCTTGTGCCGCAGGTCCCCTGGAGCATGTGCACCTGTCCCTCCCCTTTGTCACCACAAAGAACAAAGAGGTCAACGCGACTGCAGTGCTGTGGCCCAGCCAAGTGGGCACCCTCACCTATGTGTGGTGGTACGGAAACAACACGGAGGTGGGTCGTGTTGGAGACAGCATGCGTGGGGCCTAGGGGCAGCTCAGTGCAAAGCAGCTGAGGCAAGAAGGGAACAAGAAGGCTTATGGAAGTCAAGAGTAGGGGGTGGCACCCTAGCCTCGGGGCCAGCGGGCTCTCAGTGCACCAGTGTTCCCATCGGTGCATTCTCTGTCTCACTGTCCTCTCATTTTCTCTGCTTGTGTCTGTTTCTCCCTCTCACCACTTCTCTCCCCTGTGATACTGTCCTTCCCTACATGAGCTTTCCCTTGCAGTGACCCTTAGCAGCAGCCTGAGCCCGATACCCTCACAGATTAGCATGGAAAATAATCTCTTTCCCCAAAGTTCTAACAGAAGTCCTGGAGTGGTGTGTGGTCCATCAGGCCCTGACCTCAGTGCTGGGGTGGAAAGAGAGGTGCGGAAGTCAGCCTCCTGAGAACAGCACGGACCAAGACAAGGGAGGGATGGTCCCCAAAGGGAAACAAGGCAAATGGATACGGGCCGGGCAAAAGCAACAGGTGCTGTTTACCATCCAGTCCCCTGCATCAGACACGGCCACGCCTTTCAGTCAGCTTTTCCCTTTCTGTTTTCCCAAAACATTCCCTGCGGTCAAAAGTCAGCAGCATTTTGAAACCAGTAGGACCTTAACCTCATTTACGCTGCGTCCTTCATCTTGCAGATGACAAAAGTGAGGGTGAGGCCGGCAAAGTGGCAGGTTCCAACCTCATCCAGCTGTGTGATGCAGAGGCCGGAGCCGAGGCCTTCTGAAACCTGCATGAATTTTTATCCTTCTCATACGGGGCTGCATGCTCTGTTCCAGTTTTAAACTCACCCCATTCTCAGAAACTAACATTTGCTTCCGAATTTAGGCAGGAGGACTAGGGCCCCTGAGCACCCCTCCCACAGGGCACCGGGACGGACTGCCCTGGACTGGAACATGCCCCTCTTCCTCCAGCAGAAGTGCTTTCACTTGGTGTCTTACCTGCTCCAATGCAATGCATTTTATTTTCATGCAAATATTGCTCTACCCGAGAGCCGAATTTTGGCTTAAGACACAATTTTGCACAGGCCAGCGAGGAAACCCCTGACCCCAGACCCACTACAAGCCTGACAGTGGGAGGAATCTCTCACCTTACGGTTAACAGAACTGAGCTGAAAAGAAGCATCCTTTTTATTACTTCTGAAACCATGTGAACTCAGTCAGACTGGGTCCCATGACCCCCAGTGGAAGAGCATAAATCTCTGTTATTTGCCTGAAAGCGAGTACTGGAAGGTGAAATTCCTAAACAACTGTATTCTCCGTCTCCTATTGTTTACCTTTTAGCAGAAAACCAATTTCCAACAGATCATGTTGAGCAAACTTGATAGGCTGGCTTTAGTCTTCCTCTGCCATACAGGGAATTAAATGAATTTTGATTTTAAAATTAATTAAGGCAGGAAAGAAATGATTGTAGGTAGTGAGTTGAGAGAGGTCAGTAAGCTAATAATCTTCCCCTCCAGGACCCTGGCATCCAATTGTACTACAGGCACTGCTCCAAATCTTTCTTTTTTTCCCTGAGTCCTCAAACCACTCTCCAATTAGTACTTGTTTCCATAGCAGCTGCTTCCAGAAAACTGCTGATAGGGCTTCTCAGAGGAAGCTAAGCCATGCCAGGCCGCGGCTGTCTACCTCCCGCCATTTTTGGTGTCCGTGTTTGCTGCGTTCCTTTATAATTTATTATGGACAGTATACCCTGGAGGTAAGCACCTGGCAGCTGGTAGATTTTCAGTGACTATTGCTTCAATCTGGTTTAATAGGAGCCCTCTGCTTTGGTCTGATTTGGATATTTCCTTGGATTAAAGGGTCTGCTTGATGTGAGTAGGTTATCCATAGAGACAGACATACCCCACCAGCAAGCAAGACCTATCAATCTCGCCAGCTCTCAGTCGGCACGGTGCCAGAAGAGAAGTCTCACATTCACAAGGAGTGGGCAGAGCCTCTTGGGGTCACGGCTCTAACAGTCCCTTTGTGGCCTGGACTTGAGATGATGGGGGGGCATAGATGGAGTCAGTTGTCCCCAGAAAGAGCCTCCACTGAGTCAAGTAGCTTGTCGGCCCCTGTCTCATCTGTAAGGGAAGAACTTGCCCCTCACTCTGTGCCCTTGTTCATTTTAGCCCTTGATCACCTTGGAGGGAAGCATATCATTCAAGTTTACTTCCGAAGGGATGAACACCATCACGGTGCAGGTCTCAGCGGGGAACGCCATCCTGCAAGACACCAAGACCATTGCGGTGTATGGTGAGTGCTCTGTCCTCGTTAACTCAACGCTGCCCTCCTGCTCCAATGAGGTTACTCGGCGCTACACTGCCAGACTGGAGGTCATCTGGCTCCTGACCTCTAACCAGAGCACAGAAGACAGCAGTTGAGAAAGAGCTGAGTCAGGTCTGGTCCCCTCCTTTGGGGAAGATGAGGTTCACCATCAAACTAGTAGTCATGAGACCCCCCAGGGTTTATTGTTTCGTTTTCTCTCCATGGCTCTGGGGCACGTAGAGTGACCATTCGCTCACTCACCTTATGTAGGGCAGAGTGAGCCTCATTCCGCATAAGCCTTTTTCATTCCACTTGGTATTTTGGTGGTGTTTGAATAGCTAAAACTAGTTATAAAAGAATATAGTTAATATTGAGGCTTTTTATGAAGTTCAACTTTCAAAATCTTGATTATTAAAAGAAGTCTATATCTAGCAATGACTAAATACTCTGAACACCTTTTACACACAAATCTGTGTCATAAAAAACTTCTAGTAGATTGAAAGAGAGGGAAGGGCAATAACAGACGCCATGCACTGTCATTGACTGGATATTGGTTTGAATAAGTCACAGTACAGAACAATTTTGTAATCCATTGGGGAAGTTGAATATGCTCAGAGTATTAGAGTGAATGGAAATGTACTTAGATGGAAAGGTGGAACTATTGATGGAAAATGGGAGCTTATACAAATTGATCTCATTTGGAGAAAATTTTTCTGCATACAAAGATATTCAGATGGATGCACTAAATGTTATTAGTGGGTGGTAAAAATGTAAACTTTTATTGTTAATATGGAAGTGGTACATGTGCATCATTGAAAATTAAAATTAGCCCTGGCTGGCGTAGCTGAGTGGATTGAGTGCGGACTGTGAACCAAAGTGTTTCAGGTTCAATTCCCAGTCAGGATACGTGCCTGGGTTGTAGGCCATGACCCCCAGCAACCGCATATTGATGTTTCTCTCTCTCTTTCTCCCTCCCTTCCCTCTCTAAAAAATAAATAAATAAAATCTTTAAAAAATTAAAATTAAAAAAGAATTCAAAAGAATATAGATAAGGTAAATGCTGTGCAGAGACAGAGGGCACAAAACGGGGGGAGAAGAGGAGGAGGGAGAATGAGATAGACAGGCAGGCAGGCAGGCAGGCAGGCAGGCAGGTACCAGCTGGGTCAGATAACATCCACTGTCCCAGTTCCAGAATTAATGGACTCTGATGCATGGTCTGTTTTTCATTTCTCACCTTGACAGCTGACCTTCAAATTCAGAAAGTAATTTGGAAGCAACTGGGAACATGTCTAAGGATGATGTCTCTTGCCTAACTGGGTGTTAGACTTCATAATGTGTTCTCCCCACTCTGTCCCTCCCCTCACCGCAAGAGGCTTGATAAGCCTTGATAAGGCTTGAGAGTGAACTGAGGCTATGGGTTCCTCACCTGGTCCCATCAGGGAGGCAACCACCCAGCCAGGGGGCCCAAAAGGAGGAAAACTTTTGCTTCTCTTTCTTTCTCTACTCCCTATGCCGTGGGATGCATCGAATCCTCATAGCAGCCCTAGTGTTATCACTCTCATTTTTTCAGAGGGGTAGGTAACTTGCCCTCACTAGTAGTAAGTGGTGGAACTGGGTGTCCAACACAGGGCCATGCTCTGAGACTACCCTGCTTAGCTGCGCTCATGCCTTTTCCATTGGATGGCTCTTTCTCCTCTCTCTGCTTCCTTGATATCACAGGTGTCACTACCGGGCACTGAATCATTCGTCCCACAGATGTCCCCTTAGTGAAGAGGTCTTCTCATTAGAACAACAGAGAGAACTTTAAACCTAGGCGGTCTTTGGTTTATATGGTCCAACTAGTCGTTTTACAGATAGGAAACTGGGGCCCAGAAATGGGAAATTTCTGGCTTAAGGTTATTGCGCTGTTCAGTGACAACTCCAATAACAATCATGGTGATGGTAGTGGTGGTAATTAACATTGATGAAACCCTTCCCAGCATCTGTTCTAAGCACTTGATACATATGATCTGTTCTATCGAACAGAATTATGAGACAGACCTATGAGATATATGCTATAATTACCAGGAAAGTGAGAAAATATGAGATAAGTATAATAAACCAAGCCTAAGACTCTGAATCCAGAGAGAATGTTTCTATCCACTTTCCACCTCCTTGCAACTCTTAGTTTTTCCTTTTCCTAAAATCTCTTTTTTCCCCAAAGAGCAGTTTTAGATTTACAGAAACATGACAGAAAATACAGAGAGAACCCATATATTCCTCTCTCCTCCCCCCCATTATTAACGTCTTGCATTGGTAAGGTATATTTTTTCACCACTGATTATCTTATAATGTTATCATTAACTTTGTAAGCCTACAGTTTACATTAAGGTTCACTTTTTGCATTATACAATTCTATGAGTTTTGCCAAATGCACAGTGTCATGTATTCGCCATTACGGTATTAGTCAGAATAGTCCCACTGCCCTGAAAGCTCCCCATGCTCTACTGTTCGTCCCTCCTTTCCTCCGCACAAGTCCCACAACCACTGATCTTTTTGTTTCTCTCTCTCAGTTTGCCTCTTCCAGGATACCACGTAGTTGCACTCTTACAGTATGCAGCCTTTCCAGACTGACTACTTTACCTAGCAATGTGCATTTAAGTTTTCTTTATGTCCTTCTGTGGCTTCTGAAGCTCATTTCTTTTGGTCAATAAATAATATTCTGTTCTATAGGTATACTTGTTGACCTATTCACCTATTGAGGGAAATCTCTCAATTGCATTCGATTTTTTGTAATTATGAATAAAGCTTCTATAAACATTTGCTTACAGTTTTTCTTTGTTTTTTTGTGGTTACTTAAGTTTTCAACTCATTTGGGCAAGCATAATTGTTGGATCATGTGGTAACACTATGTTTAGCTTTGAAAGAAACTGCCAAACTGTCTTCCAAAGTGGCTGTACCATTTTGCATTCCCACCAGCAGTGAATGAGAGTTTCCTGTTGCTCCACATCCTTGTCAGCTTTTGGTGTTGTCAGTGTTCTGGATTTTATCCGTTCTAACAGGTGTGTAGTGGTTATCTTTGTTGTTTTAATTTTTAATTTCTAATGACATATTATTTTGAACCTCTCATATGCTTATCTGCCCTCTGTAGATCTTCTTTGGTGGGGTATATGTTCAGATCTTCTGTTTGCTTTTTAACTGGATTGTATCCATATGGTTATGCTTTAAGAATTTTTTGTGTATTTTGGATGCAGTCCTTTATCAGATGTCTTTTACAGATTTTCTTCCAGTCTGTGGCTTGTCTTTTCATTCTCTTAACAGTGCCTTTGGCAGAGCAGAAGTTTTTAATTTTAATGGAAAGGCTGTATTTCCTTTTCCTAAAGTCTCTTGAAAGATATCATCCAAAAGAGTGTCACTCCATCAAGTGGCTGACCGTCATTTCTAAAGGCCTGTTTACTGAAGAGCTTGAGCAGGGGAAGTAGTCCCCTTCCTCTAACCAAATTCCTGAATCATCAAACACCCTTAATTTGTCTTTAGTCAGATGAGTTGTCCAGAGTTGCATCTATCTGACTAGAAAATCTGAATGACATTTATGATGTCATTCATATAAAAGGCAAACTGCAGCACAGTGAGTTAGGCAAGATTGAACTCAAGTAAAACAAAAGGCAGGAAGATTTTAAACTCCAGGGTGAGCTAGTGGAAAAGTGCTAGAGGACTTTGCAGGGTGAGGGGAATATCACAGTATTGTATTCAGGCCATCTGTGTTTGCCAACTGCTGCAGATGAAAGTAAAGCTCTTACCCTTCCAGAGATAGGGGTTCTTTTTTTTTGATGATTACATTTCAAAGGGATGGCTGACAGGTCCTTGAGAAAGCCATTCCTGGTTAATAGAAGATTTGCATCTCAAAGTGACAAAGGAAACAATGTAAACTTCTAAGAAACGGGAGGTGCAAGACCTATATACAGTCAGGAAGAAACCTGTCTGATATGTAGCCAAGTTGAGGGGAATGGAAGGCCATCCCCGTCAGACTGAAGGAGGCATAATGTTTGGGAAGCTGACACAGGGAAGATTACCTATCCAAAGCCACGCGATGGAGCAGAGGAAAGAAAATCTCATTTGCATTGGTTCCCTTAATTTTCTTCAGGGCACAGATTTACTTTCTTTAATACAGAAAAGAAAATGTGAATATGCAGAACTCCTCTCTCCCAGCAGCTACTATATATACATATGTGTACGTGTATGTGTATGTCGTTGGCGGTCACCCTTTCCGGTCCCGCCACACACACCCCCATTTGGTGAGTAAACTCAGTGTAACACTTCTCAGCCATCTTCCCTCCCTGCTTTACTGCTTTGCATCTAAGTAATTATACAGGGAGCCTCATCGTTTTTCTCATTTGTGTCCTTTTATTAAGATAAATGTCTTCCCTTTTCAAGGAAGTTTCTACAGCTTGATAAGGGGTTCTGGGAAAGTGAAAATGACATAAACTTATGTCTTCAAAGTGAAAAGTTAGGACTCAGTGGCGGATTCCATTATGCTGCCACTGACTGGGTTACTAAGGAGTATGTGTTCCATTATTCTTCATCGGAACTGAAGAGGTGGTATCCCATAGGCAACCAGTGACTCATCCAATGGTCGAGGTTGGGGAAGTATGTCTTTGCACAGACGACAGTGTGGTGCTTGTCAGAGGGAAAGGACAGTGAGGGGGGTGTTAGGAGAGAGTAAAGGGGGGGTAAAGGTGATGGAGGAGATGACTTAGGTTGGCCAACACAATACAATATATAGATGATGTATTATAGAATTGTACACTTGAAAGCTATACAATTTTATTAACCAATGTCATCCCAATACATTCAGTAAAGAGAAAGAAAAATACATCTTTGGAATAGGCTAACTGCCATTAGCGCACACCTTACAATGTGAGCATCATCAGCACCTGTGTTTGACAAGTCTTTAGCATTGTTAAGAAATGCAAGTGGCTTTTAGGTTTCCCAAACTGTGTAAGCAGCACTGCAGATGTTGCTAAATCCCGCTGAAGCACCAGGACCTCCTTAAGACAAGGAAGAAATGTTAGTTAAGTAGTAAATGCAGACTGCAGAGAGCCTTCACTACATCCACTTGTTGTTCTCCTTACTTATGCATTCATTGGCTGATTCTTGTATGTGCCCTGACCGGGGATTGAACCTGCAACCTTGGTGTATTGGGACAACACTCTAACCAAACCGAGTTACCTGGCCAGGGCCACAACAGAAAAAGTTATTAATTAAATGGCTTATAGATAGGAATTGAAAAGCTACCATGAACTGGGTACTATTTCATAGGGCCAGAAACACAATACCCCTGTCCCCATTGAGCTTTTATATTCCAGTGGGAGATAGACAATAAAAACACAATAATTTAAGCAGCAAGAAATATAAAAAAGACAAGCAGGGTCATGTGATGAAGGAAGTTTGAGATGGTACAAGGGAGGATACCTGTGTTGCTGGTGGGAAGAGGTTCTCCTGGGAAAGACTGCATGAAGAGAATGAGTTGATGCTGTAATCTGAGGGAAACACACGAAGTGGGAAGGCGCATGGCAGGCTGAGGAGCCTGGGGAAGGGCAGGGTCCTGGGGTGGGGAAGCCCACAGGACAGGAGGCAGCGGAGAAAGTCAGTACTGGGGTGAATCTGAATTTTATTCTAAATGCACCGTGGAGCCATGCAAGAAGCGCTGAGCGAAGATCCCCAGGGCTGTGCTCTGAAACCCAGCACCAGGCCAGAGCCAGCGCCACACCTTCCTTGGGCTGATGGCAGCCAAGGACGGAGTGAGACAGAAACGCTAAGGACGATCCGTCCCCGGGACACAGGGGACTCCTCTGGCTGCCGTTGGCTGGAAGACGCCCCAGCAGTCTTTCTGAACCTCCCTCAGACTGCTGAGCACCCCACCCTCCCTCCCCTCTTCCACTGCAACGTCCTGTATGTGTCACCGTCTGCTGTGCTCCAAGCTCCTCAGCTTTCTCCCCAGTTCTCTTATGAACGATTCTCCTTTAAAAAAAAATCCTTGCTTTTGGAATTGCACCCACTTCCTGGAGGACTGGGACTAACTCAGGGACCACAGACACAACTAACGAAACCCTAGAACTAAGGAGCTTAAAATTCCGCTAATACAACTTTCACACAAGCACAAAATAACAACCGAATGACTACAGTAATAATTATAATTATGTAATGATATAATTATTGTACAGTCATATAATAATAATGAAGGTATGTGCAAAATACAATTGTACCATTAAAAACAGAAAATCAAAACATAGCGAGAGAAGGTATTCAGTTAACACATGCTCCAACTAGAGCCTGAAAACTGCATGCAGGGAAGATGGGAAGGATGGGGCACTCTAGGCAACAGACAGTGTGTGCGAAGGTCCAGAGTTATAAACTTGAGATACGTGCAGGGCATTCCAGGTCACTTAGTGTCAGGAGTGCAGAGTCTAGAAGTGGGGATGATGGGCAAAGGCTGCGGAGCCAGGCAGGGGCCACAGCCTAGGGCTTTGGTCTGGAAAACGAGGAGCTGGAAGACAACAGGGATGGGACAGTGAATCTTTCTAGCAGGATCTGTCAGGTGAATGTGAAAGAAAAGGATCCTCCATTGGGCCTTGCATAAAATACCAGGTATGACTGACTTCTTGAGAAATCTATCTGACTCGTAGTAATCACCCTGCTGTTGTATCCCCAGAGGAATTTCGATCTCTTCGCCTGTCCTTTTCTCCAAACCTGGACGACTACAACCCGGACATCCCCGAGTGGAGGAGGGACATCAGCCGCGTCATCAAAAAGTCCCTGGTGGAAGTGAGTGCAGACGGCTGCTTCTCTTGCCCGGGCACATTTCTTCCCTGTCCTCAGAGAGCTCCGTGGTGAGGGGATCCTGGTGAAAGGCAATGACAGGGAAGAGCTGGAGCCTGTGGGAGACCTGTCTGGCATCTGCCTAGCTGAGCCCCATGTTTGCAGACACATCGTGGATGCTTTGGGGGCAGCGAAGCTGTAAACAAACCTGTGGTTCTTCATGCTGCTTAGAGAAGAACATGGAAGCTTGTGCCAGTCATATAGCAGAGTTTATGATGAGCCATTGGGAAGTATAAAATCAGCTATTGTGCATAACACTGAAAGACAGAGCGTGAGTCCAATTAGTCAGAGCAGCCCTGGGTCCCAGCTCTGCACAAGGTGAGCATAACTGCACAGTGCACAGTTGGAACACGATGGTTTGTCATCCTTCTACACCCAGGCCTTTTAAAGGCATTTGTCACCTACAGCAGCCCTGACAGGATGGTATTATTGTCCTCATTTTGCAGATGGAGCACCTGAGGTTCAGAGAGGTTACATAACTTGCCTAATGCCTTGAAGCTAATCAGTGGTAAGGGTACACAATTGAATTGAAGGTTCTCAGTCCAATGTCTGGGTTTTTGCATATGAAACACAGCTCCCTGGGGGGACTGAGAAAATAGCAAGGTGATGCGATTTATCCCTCTCTGAGCAAATGTTGCTGACATTTTGAGAAGACACCTTCTTTCAGACACACTGCCCTGCACACACTCCGCTCTCACGCGTGCTCAGGGCAGGAGCATCTGCTCAAGGAGCTGCGTGGATTTTTTGCACAAGCCCAGAAAATCAGAGGTGAGAGACTGTTCCCAAAGGTGTATTCTTAGCCCCAAAGGAGAGTGAATGTGGGTTTTTTGTTTTTGTTTTCTTGACACATTCTTTCCTGCACCCAATACATGATGCCTCGTGGCACAAAGAGATATGGGGTCGAGGCATTCAGATAGCCCCTGCTCAGAAGACAGATCATATCCACCCTTTTGTAGCAAAGAGCTGGCCTTCCCCATAATCATATCGTTATTTTTGTTTGTATTTATTTAGTACTTACAGTATTCCAGAAACTCTTCTCAGTGCTTTACATTTTTAACACATTTAATGACTTTAAAAACTAGCTTATGATGTAGATAGTGTAATTATCGCTGTGTTACATACAGGTGTGGAAACTGAACTTAGAGACAGATAACGTGTTCAAGGTTACACTGTTAAAATTCAGGCTTGGGAGTCAGACCATCAAAGTTTGAGTCTTGATGTCATGATTTCATAACCACCCCACTGTCCTGCCATCCTTTGCCTTATTATACGGAGAAACAGGGATAAGTGGAACGGTGGGATGGAGAAGAAGTATTTTCATGCACCTCTGGGTTCTCGCCCTCTCATCGTCCTCTTCAGGATTCTCAGCGTTCCTGACATTATGGGTACCGAAACATTATGGCCATCAGGGGGCGCAGCTACTAGAAGGACCCCCTGGCCTAGGCCCTTCTGCTTTTGGAGCTGTTTGGCTCTGGTGTGATAACTGGCTTCTCTCCCCTGCTGTCCAAGAGGGATGACTTATATCCTTCCATGACCCAACTGCCCACCTGCTTCAGTCTGCAGCATTCTAGGAATCCATGTGCCTCCCAGGCAGCTGTCCAATGCCCCCCACGTGATTTATCAAGCAGGCATTAGCTCAGCAGTGACCAGCTTTCCGGGCTGATTGTCCGGGGACCAGTTGCCCTGGCCCTGACACCTTTCTACCAGCTGTCCAGTGGGCTAGAAATGACTGCTCTTCAGTATTTCTAGGCTGGTGTATAGCGTACTCAGCTCCATACGGAATAAACAGGCTCGACATCCCTCAGGTCAGGCTGTGCTGCACACAAGGAGGTTTCAAACTCCTTGGTTTCCCAGTCCTAGGAGGCAGCTGTTGGCCCTGGTTCTGTGCCCCACACTGTCTTCGGCCATTGTCTTAAGTCCTGAAGCACCCCATTGCCAAGTTCACCTTAATAAACCCTAAATGAGGTACAACATGAGGTCCACTTAATTGTACTTTCCCTGTTCATTATGTGACAGAATCAGATTTTAAAAATCAGGGTTTTTTTCCTCACCAAATATGGTTTTTCTGGTGACATTTCACCGTGGAATCTTTCACTGAATGTCATTCAGTAAGCTTTTTTTCTTTATGATAAGGATGGTTTAGACGTGATCTCTGAGTTAAAAACCTAGCAGGGCCATGAAACCGCGTGAGATCTTTGTGGCAGGAGTCCTGTATGATCACTGTCAGGAGAACGCAGTGGGGCGCTGGCTAAGAACAGAGGCTTCATGGTCTGACCAAAGCCCCAGACTAAGCAGCCCCTCCTCACTGACATGGCCTTGAGCCATTGTTTAACTTTCCTCCCTCGACCATCCGCCTGCGAAACAGAGATGCATTGCCCCGATCCCCATGCAGGGAAAGACTGCTCTCCTTGCTGCTGGGGGTGCTGTGGGTAGAGGCTTCTGCTGCCTTGCCCTGGATCATGTCCCTTTCCCGGGTGCTCACATCCGGTGATCAACTGAGGCAGTCATATAAGGGCCTGGCCGTCACCATTTAACCTCAGACACATCTGGGGCACTGTTTTCACCCCCTGGACGGTCTCCCGAGGCTGCAGCTGACCTTCCTCACAGCTCAGCTTCTCCGCTACTCATTCTTGCCTCCTTCTTTTCGCTCCCTTAGCTGTCAATCCCAAGAACACCCTTAAGAAGTACCCAGAATGCTAAACTCAGGTCTGCTTCCTGCGGACCCCAACCTGTGATGTGTCTTCACCAGCAAAGAGGGACATAATAATCGCATCGAGTAGTTGTGGAAGGTTGCATTAGAAAATATTAACAAGCGCTAGCACAAGACTAGATGTATGCAAAGACTCAATACATAGACAACTGTGAAAGAGGCATAAAGGTGGGGTTCAGAAACAAAAAGGTCACCTGATTGGGAAGTCATGAAAAATATATTGAAACCAGTGGTCTTTAAGAATGAAAGGAGAGTAGGGTTTTAGCAGCAAATGTAGAGAGAGAAAAGACACTCTGGGGGAGATGGAACACACAAAAATATTTTCAGGAAAGGGCTGGAATATTGAGAACTTGTACACGATTCCATCTGGCTGGACAATAAGATGACGGCATGAGTTGTAAGTAGTTCATCTGGAGAGGAAGGGTTGAACTGCCCTGGAGAAGGCTTGGGATGCCATATTCAGTTGGTTGGTAGTGGGAATTACTGCAACAATTTGGACAGGAAAACACAATCTTAGCTGGACTAAAGGAAGCTAAATCTCAAAGTAGTAGCCTATCTCCTGGAACTGGGGAGACTGTTATAAACTTTGAGGGAGGGGAGAACATGTAAGTGCTGACTTGGGGATAGTAGCAGTGGGTATTTGAACAGGAAGGAACCATCAGGATCATTGCTCTGGAGGAGGGCTTGTCAAGATCTGTTAGACCAATCAGATACAACATGGGAAGGGGCGTGTCCTGCCAGAAGCTAATGGGAGGCCTCCAGCCAGGGTATCTGGGAAATGATCCCCCTTGGATCATCCAAATGTAGAATTAGTATTTTACAGCAGAAAATGAGAAGGTCCTTTTTTGTCACGTTTGTTGGAAATCTTAGTAAAGTAACCCAATGAATGATCTTTTGACTGTCCACTTTTCTCTTTGAAGAGAAAAGCAGGGATTGTAGCTATTGATTTCTAGAACCATCTAGGGAGTGCACTTAGAGGAAACCCTGGGATATAAGCTCAGAAGAGAGCGGATGAACCGACACAAAGAGGAAGTCCTTCAGTGATAACTGTAGTTTTAGGAGATGATTCAGCGTGGCAAAGTGAAGGGCTCAACGTGCTTCATGACACGGGCTGGTCATCGGGTTCTGGTGATGTGGAGAAGTCAGCAGGGGCGAGGGTTGTGCTGTGGGGGAGCTATATTAGGTTGAGTTGGTAAGATGCAACTGGTCAGTTTGAAGGAGTAACTCCAGTGCTACCACAAAGGAGGAGGCTGGGTGGAAAAGGGTTGAGGCATGAGGGGCAGACAATAATGTTTAGTAAGTAAGGGTCTTCTCACTGGCAAGGCCCCCTACCAGACACGCCCCATAAGAAAAATAGCGAACATGTGAATGCCAGGCACTACTATAGATGCTTTATGTGCAACTTATTCAATTCTCAAAACCACTCTTTCGTAAGTACTGCCAGCGTCCCCACTTTTTAGTTGAGGGAATGTAGATACCAAGGAGGGAAAGTGTTTAAGGTTTCACAGGGATGGAGCTGAGATCAAACCTCAGACAGTCGGACTCTGGAGCCTGCACAAGTAGCCCAGGGCTGGCCGTCATGTCCCTTCCTGCCAGGTACACCCAGGATCCTGCTTGCACACCCCTCCCCCACCCCATTCCCTGCCGAATACTTGCCCCTTCTCATCATCTTTCCTGCAGGACTTACATGCTCTCTTCTGTGTCTCTCCCTCAGGCCACTGGGGTCCCGGGCCCCCACATCTTGGTGGCGGTGCTCCCTGGCTTGCCCACGGCTGCTGAGCTCTTTGTCTTGCCGTATCAGGACCCAGCAGGAGAACACAAAAGGTCAGCTGAGGATCTGGAGCAGGTGAGTCTCCCAGGTGACATTTCAGCTTCCCCCAGAGGTCTGAGCCACAGTCCTCCAGGGATCTAACCACCAGCACAGCAGCTCTAAGGGATCTCGGCTTGAGAGTGAGGACACCAGCTGTTTGTGGAGGCTTTGACTTTCTGGTCTTCCGTTTCTTTTTTGTAATATGGCGATCCTAACTACAGCTTCATGAAAAAAAAACACAAAACCTACATTCAAGAGTGCTATAGGGAGTGGCTAAGTCACTCAGAGTATGTCCACACTGTGGAATACTCTACAGTGCTTACAATGAATTAGATAAATCTAGGCATATTGACGTGATGAACTGCCCAAGATATTAAGTGGGAGAAAAGCAAGTGGGTGAGCAAAATGTGGAGGTTGAATCCATTTATATCTTACTTTGCTAAATTTCCTCACAAGAGTGTCATGAGGATTAAATGGCATGATATGCATGATACCTTTTATAAAAAGTACAGCTTTTGTACACATTATGAATCCTCTTTCTCACCACCATGTGATGTTGACCTAATGTGTGGCTGTAACAAATGAGTAGTATTAGCTCCAGGGGACCTCCACTGGCTCTATGGGGTCCACTTCCTTCTACCACCTCTGGAGTATTAGAACATCTGTGTGTGTGTATGTATCTCTCCCACCTGTCCTCTTTGATGCCCCCCCACCGCCTTTTTACTTCAAAAGTCTCTCCAGTCTGTCATGAGGATTATTATTTGTTGTTTTTCTAGTTCTCCATCCATTGAATTCAAATGATCAGTCTTAGTCTTGTTACCCCATTAGAAGCTATATGATTCCAGTTTGTTAATCCCTTCTGGCAAATAGATTAAAAATAGGATCGTCTGGGGCACTAAAAATATTGGCTGTTTTCCCTCCAGTATGTGGAGCTTTTCAATTCATTTAGAATAAACCCAATAGTCTCGTCCTATGATCCACAGTCTTCCAAGATGTCTCGAGAACCTCCTTTATCAGCCTGATTAACAACAACCCCTAATGAGAGCATGGCCTGCCTCCTGGCACACACCTTTCTTTCAACGGCGGCTTTCTCACTTGGCAGAAGACTCACCTCTGTACTTTTCTGCATGTGCGAGTCATAAACAATGGAGCCGCCATAGAAAGCCCGTTGAACCCTGCTTCCTAGTGAATTGTGGCAGGTAACCTGTCAGATTTGCATCTGACCTTGCTCAGCAAGGCCATTCAGCATCCTATGATATCCTACAGGTTATTATCTGCACTTGCAATTTAATGGGGAAAAATGGATTATTTCTTATTATAGCATTGCCGATGAGAACCTGGAGGGAAAGTAGCTCACTATCCAAAGCCTTTACGTCCCTCTTCTGGAAATCTCACTGATGGTCCGTGAAACCCAGATCATAATCTTTGCAAGTACAGAACTGTCCAGACTTAGAGCCAGCAAATTGTCTAGCCACTATACCATTTGTGTGTCTCTGTGTCTCATGCCGTCCATTTTTCTCTAAAAGTGTAATACATTCTAGATGTTTCCTTGAAGAGAAATGTAGAAAGAAGAGGGGTATTGTTCTGTGAAGCTTCTTTTGCATGTGTAGGAATGTATCCTGCATTGACTGTCTGTTCTCTCTGTTCTTGTTTCTCTTTATTCTCTGTCTTGTCTGAATGCCTCCTGCGAAGGCATTCGCACAGAGCTGACGGATTGTCTGCGGTAGCATGGTAGCAGGAATTGACAAGCCATTAATCAGAGACCTGATGGCAGCTGGCTTCTTCCAAGGCTGTGTGACTTAGCATTTGGTACCTAGACAGGGAGTCTAGCTATTTCATTAGAAAGAGCATGTATGGAGAAATATAAACCAGATTTCTAGCTTCAACTCTGATATTCATTGTATCTTATTACAGATGAAGAAAGTAGACCGGAAAAGTTAAATAATTCAGCCAAAGGCCCATAATCTATAATACCTGTCTTATAGGCTGTTTGAGATATCTCAAAGAAATGATACAGCAAAGTACTTGTCCTATAGTGGATGCCCAATAAATGGTAAATGGATGATGGTTAAATTTATGGCCATTTAGAAGGAGAAAAATATGGAAAATGCAAAAATAATGTAAGACTTTGATACAGCCAAGGGCATGTATTAGCAGAAAGAGGATGGCGGGAGTAGTGGGGAAAGATTGATGAGTGAAATTACGTGAAAGAACAAGGTCAGTAAGAAACAGAAAGAACATGTATGAATGACTCTCCTGGGGTGAGGATGACACATCGAAGTCATCATGCAGATTTATAGCGTGAAAAGACAACAAAGTACCACGCTAAAGATTGTGACTCTGTTTAAGGGATTTGCCAGTGTACGCGCCTTATTCAGGGCTCAAACTAAACTAAATACAGGGACCAAACGAACACCAAACCAAGCACATAAGATCAGCATGCTAGTTGGGGAGAATAGCATTATCCTGATTGAAAAGTGCAGTAATGACATCAACATATAAAACTGAGCCATGCGTCAAGCACCTGTAACACATGGGCTGCCCACCCATCAGAAACATGTAGTTTTCCTCCAAAAAGGGGTCTTTTGACTGTTGTCTCTGGCTCAGTCACTTTAAAATGAAGGCATTCGGGCCCCGAAGTCAAGATGCAACTTGGCTGAGGTGAAACAAGTCTTTGAGGAGAATGAGATTCTAGTTCAGTTTCTACAACTGATTGTCAGCCTAGTGCTCTCCTTCCACCACCCTCCCTGCCCCCCAGCCATGCTGCAGACTTGGGTGTAGATACACCTTTACCTCTGTGGACCCCAAAACACTAGGGCCATTGTACTAGGAATTGAATGAGAGATGCTTTGCTTTGTTTTGCATTAATGTGTGTATTTCTGATGCGATGAACAGCTATCCAGTTCAGACACCTTAAAGGAAAAAAGTGAAGTCAGGAGCCTATTTAGTGGAGAAATCTAAGGATATAGTTCAGGCTGGATGAGTTCATGGCCACTCAGAAGTGTCATCAAATGACTTCCTTCTCTTCTTCTCACCTTCCTTTCCTCTCCCTTTTCTTTGCTGCCATGGGGGAAGTCTGCCTGAGAATGCAGCCAAATCATAGGAAAGCCACAACAGCCATAGGAAGTCCCAGCTGCTATTTAGTCAGCCTGCCAAACCCACCCAAAAGACAATGCCTCCCCCCGACTGCGTCACAAGAGCCCCAGATTGGCAGTTCCCACTGGCCAGACTTGGGTGAAGTGGGCATCTCTTGACTAGCTCCTAGTCAGAGGGAGAGAGTGTGTCAACTCTGATGTGTTATGCCCTTCCTGGGTCAGGGGTGTAGGGGGCCCCTTCTAAATCAAATGTGCTGAAATTTAAGCAATAGAACATGGTTCTTTAAAGAAAACATTGGAAAGAGAGAAGGAATGCCAGGTAGGCAAAAGCAACTGACTGCCTTTGCCATAAATTACACAGAAATTTTCAATGAATTAAAGCAAAACAGAACACCAGAAACCACCCCCCACACCTTGTTCGAAGACTACATCTGAATTGCAGATAGAACTTGGGAAGGGCCGATCTTATCCCCTCTCTTAATGCCCTGGCTGCCTTTCTTATAAAGATACAACATGGGGGAGAAGTGGGACCCTTCTGGATGGACCCTGAAGACTTCGGGGGCACGCACAGCCCCAGAAACGAGCTCTTGACACCCCTCCTGTCACTTCCTCTAATGGCATTCCCAGGGGACAGGAATGCTGGCTCACACCTAGCTGTCTTGTTTGTGAAATAAATTAAAAATCCCTCACAATGAGATGTACTTGACCTTGTTATCAAGTAAAGTGGGCTGGGTTAATCAAGTGACCTCTGTCTGGGAGGGCTCCACCAGTCTTTATTTTAGATTTCCGGTGAGGGAGAAGAGGCTGGCTTGCCCTTTGCCAGCCTCCTCAGGGACAGCACCTCCTGCTCCCCTGCGGCCAGGTGCTCCCACATGGAGTAGCCCCTCCCCCAGGTCACTGAACCCACTTCTTCTCCCTGAGTCACCAGAGGTAAGCAGATGTGTATCTGGCTTCCCTGGAGGAGGCAAAGACCATAGGCTGGCTGGGTCAAGGTTGTTGGTGATGCTTCGCTGGGGAGGTAGGGAGCCTACAGGTTGTCTGGCAAAATCCTTAAAGGTCATGGAAACACTTAAAAGGAGCAAAAAGACTACAGAAAATGTCAACGCCCGGCAATGCTTTTCCTCCTCAGTTGTTTGTGTTCCCACATCCACCTAATGACAGATGGGGAGTCCGAGATTCAGGGGGAGGAGAGGCGCCTCTGAGAATGGAACAGCCCTTTGGCAGCATTTTAAGGAAGTAAACATTTACTCTGGAATGTAATTGATCATCTTAGACTGGTTTTTATTGGCCCACATAGTCTACTCTGTCTAGATTTGTTAACGCGGGGAGTTGAACCATAGAAACACTCTGGAGTTCACAGGAAGGTCACTAAAGTAAGAAACTATAACCAAAAATAGAGTAGGTAAGAGCTGGACCAAAAGCAAGGGAGCAAAAGGAGCCAGCTTAGAGCTGGGAATAGGGAAGACAAGAGGAGGAAGCATGCATGGCCAATGTGTTTATTCGTTATGTCACCCAGAAAAATTCTTAGGCACCTTAATCAAGCTGATTCTTTGGGGCTAAGGAAGAGCAGAATTAGGTGGGCTAGTGTTAATTTGGATTAGTATTTGGCTCCATTGCTGTCCCTCCCTACAAATCTTGTGAAGTGGGGAAGATCTTTGTCAAATCCAAAGGAGGACTCTTCCACTGCTACTTGAAGACCCTTATTAATGTAATGTGATCTGGATTGATTGATTAGGTCAGCTTCAAGGTCAATCCAGGCAAGTCTCCCTCTAAACATGGCACCAGCATGCTGTTGATATTCAGTAGGATTTGCATTCCTTCTACCAGCTTCAGAGACATGCTCCAGCCTTTTAGCCTAAGGCAGCTTTGCCACTGATAAGTCTGCCAAAGCCTATTTTGTACCACTTCTCTGCCTTACATGTTTTATAAATTTATCATCTGCTCTGTTGTCCTTTTCTCCTGTTTTGATGTTTGACACTACCATTCTCATAATCTGAGCATGTGTTTTTCCCCTATTTGTTTTACTAAAAATTGTTTAGATGTTGCCTATGCTCTTTATACAGCAACTGTCACATGTTGCCTACATATTTTCAACTTACCACCTTCTGGATACATGGTAGGGTTGTACCCCTAATTCTCTCCTGTGGGCAGATCCGTGGGACTAAGTCTGGCCAATGACTTGGGAGCAGAAGTGATACATGTCTCCTCCAAGCTGAAGTATCCAAATGCCATCTGCAAACCCCGGAGGGCTCCTTTGCCCTCCTAGGGTGCTGTCAATGAAACATCCAAGGGTGCTGCTTCACCGGCCTGCATCACTGCGCGACCAGACTGAGCACAGCACCGCTGCCTGCCTGCACTCTGAGCAAGAAACCTGCCTACAATGTCTCTGGCCCCCAAACTTTAAAAGTGTGGCGTCAGCCTCATCTAGTTTACACACATTGCTACACTTAAATTTCATACTTTGTGAAAAAGATAAGGAAGCGGAATGGCGCTTTCCCTTTAGCAGGTCCCTCCCCCTACATCTTTTTGATGTTTGCTTTCCAAGTATTTTTTATTGAGTCCCCACTGTCTTTCTAACTGGTACTTTAAGTGAAGTGTGAGTTATCTCTAAATCACAGGCATATTGCACCATTTGGCAGATGCCAAAAATAATATGTTGTTTCTTTAGTCGTAATGATTTAGCTGAAGGAGGACAGAAAATGGGTTGTGTAGGAGAGCAGCGGAAGAGGGTTGGCAGTACAAAGGATAAATGAGATCTGCTCAGACAATACACTTTCACTGGGCAGAAAGAGAAAAATAAATTCAACTTGCTTCAGCGGGTCCAATCTCCAAGCAAGCCCGCGTTGTCTCACTTAATTCTTTATCATGCGGGGTTTTGTTCTCCTCATTCAGGCCATCTCCACACTTTTCGACAGCTTCCAGTTTATTCTGCTTCTTTCGTAGCCAAGTCTCGCAAACGTTACACATCACATTGCTTGGTGAACAGACGGGGGCAATCCCAAGGATAGCGTTAGCGGTTGCCTGTTGCCGTAGCTCGTAGTGGTCAGCTGACATGGGACTGGTGTTAAAAGTTGTGAGTTTTATAGATGAATATGGCACCATAACGAATGAAATGCAGTTTTTAAACCTCCTAAACCTACTTTGTGCAACCTCTTTCTGAATAGCTTTTGCTTCCTTTCTTTGTCACCTGTTCAAAGGAAAATATTTTTTATGGGGATACTCTAGGATTAGGAGTCAGACAATATTGCAGTGGGGCATCAACTCTTCAAATGTTCGCTGGGTCATCGTAGGTGTGTCCTGTATGCGCCATGCTCCTTCTCCAGGGAGATACCAGCACTGACACCTAACACATTCTGAGTTAGAAAAAATAATAAGAAATATGTGACTTTACCAGTATGAAGTGTTCAGTGCGTAGATAATGTATTTAAAACATATACATAACAATTGATCTGACAAAAACAATATAGAATAAACACTTCTGCAAATAGCATGAAAAACATTTAAAATATTGTCAAAATCTGTCAACAGTTTCACACTCATTTATTTGAGTAGAGAAGTACATGGTTCTAATTGAGAGTATTCTTGTATGCAATGCAAATCTTATTTAGTTTTATTTCTCTGCATAACTTCTTTCCCACAAACTATGTGTTCTTTATTGCATGTCCTTCAATACGAATTAATTACATGAAACATGCTTTCTGCCACTGGATTAGTTTTTCATAGCCTGCTTAATTTTGTAAATGATACAGACAAAGCCAATGAAGCAATGTTATAAATGAAAATAAACCTGGATGTTAATTATATTCACAAGGGACTCTCTCGGAGATTATAAATTAGAAATAGGTTGTTCTGATGAACTCGGTATTCTGATTTAGTTATTTACATCTCTCACTTGAGGAAAAAACATTCTGCAAGAGATGAAACATGTATCACTTCAACTGGTTGAGCAAGAAAGTCTTTCTCTGCAATATTGCCCAATCGCATAGTCCCCTTTGTTTACATGATGGACCCTGCCACACAGGGCGATCCCTTTACTATTATGACCACTCTTTCCTATTTGAGTTAAAACATTTTTTTCTGCAAATACAAATGTGTATATGTGCACATGTCCCTAATATATAGCTAAACGTATACATCTATGATTGTATATTTACACATTTCTATATGTGTGCATGTGTGTACTTCATAATCCAAACTTTTCTGATTGACCTCCACTAAAAATCCAGGGTCAGACTCCTTTCAAGACCTCTCGTATTGCAACAATGTAGAGAACACAGAGGAAATGTGTTGTACAGTCTGTGTTAGAAATCTCCTCTTCCTGTAAACCTGGAGCATTATGAACGATTTCCAGTGCCCAGAAAAAAAGAATAGCGTAATACCGGGAATGAAGTTGCTTGCAATATAATTTTCTTACAACCTTGTTTTTCTGCACCGTTTGCCAAATGCAGACATTAGAGAGGCTGACTTTGCACTGGATCCCAGATGCTCAGCCACAGGTCACTGACAGGCATCCCAAGTCCCTGCTGCTAAGCAAAGAAGTTCACCTGCAGGGCAGTTAGGTTCTGCTACCAGGCAAGGGCTGCTGGAAGGGGCTCTTTGCTTCAAAACAAAGCCATCTGACCCTGCCTAACTGATGAAAGGATCAAAGATGTCATTTCTGCCTTTCAGTGGACTAAATGGGATTCAACAAATATACAAGGAAAAAAAATTAGCAGAATCATGGCGAGGAAGCATCTAATTAGACTTACAAGTAAGATAAATAAAATAATAAGTTGATGATTAGAGTATTTAAAATAAAGCAAGGAGACCAGATAAAAACAGTAGGATTGTGGGGATAGCTTTTCAGAATTTGCTGCTAAATAAATAAATAAATAAAATCAAACAGATTGAGCTGGGCTTTCTACTTGAAACAAGTCAATAGCTTTACCTGGTTTTTAAAATCTCACCTTACACTGTTACCACTCCAGCAAGGTTCTTTGGCCCGTGTCGGGGTTCAGCATGCTGTGGCCCAGAGTTCCCAGCATCTATCTAGCACACGAGTCAGCCCGAGTAGCGGGTCAGTGATGTCTATAAGCGTGAAACAAGGGTCGGCCAGTCATTACTTAAGTTGTGGTTGCACTTTGTTTCAATTGCATAATGTATTACTTTAGAAACACTGTATCTGCCATTCCATAAATATTCATAAAGTATATATTCTGTGGAAGCCACAGGACATGGGTTGGGGAAGGGGTGGGAAGCATTGGGGGAATAAGGGGGTGTCTATCAGAAAATAGGATAAATGTATGTGAATCTCACCACAATGTATAAATTTCTACTTCTTTTAAGCTCTGTGTATAACAAACAAAAAACTGGCGGTGACTTTTCTAACCTAACTCAAGATAATTTTTAATAGTATGAATTATTTGATTTACTAATGCTTTGTCCCTTCTATAGCATTCAGGATATAAAGTCGGGTCATACTTAAAAATAATTATTTCTGCATATTCTGGAAAAACTCAAAATCCTATTAAAACTAATTTCTATAATTCACAGGCATACTATTGGGAATGCCCTGGTAAAGACAATAAAGATTTCTCAGCACATTTGCTTATAGTCAGTATGACAATTTTGGTGGCACTCACTGTGACATTTCTTTCAGATATCGGAACTGCTGATCCACAAGCTCAACCAGAACGCAGTGCACTTCGAGCTGAAACCCGGGATCCAGGTGCTTGTCCACGCAGCCCACTTAACAGCAGGTCAGTTTTCATGCCGCTGGGTCCTCGCTGGTGGCTCTAGCAAAGGGGGGTCCCAACCTATCGCTTTAGCAGAACACTAGAGGGTGCCCCCCTTTGTCAGCAGTGGGGCATCATTCTTTGGAGGTTCCCTTACTTGGCATTTTTACCTTAATGGGGACCCACAATGCAACCAAATAAAGTGACTTTTCTTCATCCCTGGCAAAAAACCATCAGTGACTCACCTAAATGCATCCTCCTCAGGTGACAGCAAGCTTCATCTGAACAGAAATCTTGAACATAATGTCCGTTTTACAAATAACGTTTCCCTGGTTGTTCTGTAAAACCTTATTTTCAAATTGTGTTACAAACACTTGTTTTTCTTTAAAATTTGGAATAAAGGGTGCTGGAAAGAGCTCAGACCTAGGAGTTATACAGGGCCATAGCCAGGAACTGAACCTCAAGTTGGTCATGATCTTCCAAATTAACTAATGCCATTGAGTTTCTGCCTCTTTGCTCATGAGATGAGTGTGGGGGGTGGCAGGGAGGATTCTTCTCCTAAGGCCATATAGAAGTCTCAGTGATCATTCACATAATCCCAAGTGTGTAGAAATAGATAGCATTGTGTTGTATTAATGCTACATTTAATTAACAGTGCTTATTGAAGTACTTATTTTTGCTGAGTACTGTGCTGGCACTGCATAGAGTATAAGGGGTGGTAGGAAATGATCTTTGTCCTCAAAACATGTGTAATCCAGGTGCGGTGTGGCAGTGTTTGAGGTGGCAGTGGTGACGGCGCTATGGGTTGGGGGAAATGGGCCGTGGTGGGGTACCTCAATGTGTACATGCATACATGCTCACGTGGAGAAGCCACAGAGTGCACTTAAGCACTCAGATTTTTCAATCGTGCAGTGAGACCATTGGTTTCAACTGTGGTCCCATCACTCCCTCACTATATAGACCTTAAAAAGAGACGTAACTTCCCTGTGCCTCAGAGATGGCTATAGCACCTGTGTCGGAGGGATTGCGTGAGGAAATAAGTTAATTCAGGTAATGCACCTAGAGTAGTGCCTGGCAGATAGTAAGCTATTGCGTTGGTCTGTCTGTTTGTTCCTTTTTACTCCTTGTATTTTTAACAAAATTGTGTAGGAAATTTGAAGCAGAGACAAACTGTGCTCTGTCAAAATGATACAGGAAAGTGTCTTGGAGGAGACAGATGGATGGATAGGATTAAATGCCAGAGACATTTGCAGCACCAAAGCACCAAGGAAGGACATGGAAACCACGGGCTTTGGGATGCTGAGTACGAGGGGACCAAGAGCAACAGTTTCCAGTGCTGTTCTCCAGCTTCCTGGAAGTTCTGGTCCCTTTTCTGCTTATATTCTATCTTTTTTCTGCATTAGGGTCTCATACATTTTCTGTTTATTTTAAAGAAAAAACTACCACTGCCTTAAAATGAATATTTAAAAGTCACCATTCCTGAGCACGGGATATGGAAGTGGGGTGTAGGAATACGCCAGGCTGGGCAGTCTGCGCCTGCTTGGCGGGGCTCCGGGAAGCCAGGGGGACCTCGGAGCAGAGCTGTGACCCATTGGGAGGGTCACCTGAGGAAGATGACTCTTCGAAGGACGGAGGATTGAGGTGGGCTGATTTGGTATCCCACAGCTTGCCGTCCTCATGCATCCACTGAGCAGGCATTTACGGAGTGCCCGCCTGATCTGAGCCAAGCAGAGTTCTCTGAATGGGATAGCCTCTGCCTTCCCGGAAGCTTCCTGCCCCGGGGAAATCCCACTTCCCTCATAATACTGCTGATAAAAATGCCCTGAAGAAATTAAGGAACAATTAAGCCGCACCTATAAGAGCAACCCCTAAGCCAAAGTCCGCCAACGTATCAGCGATCCAGATTGCCATTTCCTACTCAGGAGGCTGACCGTTGGTTTTTGGTGAGTGGTGGCCTCTGACACGTGACTGTTACACGTAGCTGGTTGAAGTGGAGCACAAACAATGTCCAGAAGCATCAGTTGTCGTCATTCTGGTAGACAAGCCACTGACAAATTTTGTCAATTCAGTCAAAAGTAACTGGCTTGAAATTGGTTTAAATAGTTGTACTGATGTATCCAATCCAGTTAGGTGGTACAGCCTGTTTAGGGGAAGACCGAACCTCTTCTGCTTCATCCCTAGTGACGCAAAATTTGCTTTACAACATACTCACCTTCTAAGTGAGTGCTGTGTTCAGGCAGTATATTTTGCTATCGAGTACCTGGATTTATTAGGAAACACTCTCCTGGTATTTACCCCGGGACCTCTCTTAGAAAGGGGAGCATCACAGGTCAAGATAGAGACCCAACCTACTTCTCCAGTTCTCCAATTCTGGAGGCCACTTGCATTTCATACCTTTCCTTCTTCCCACACCTCTCTCCCAGCAGTTATTTTATGTGCCTGGTTTTTATTTGCCTGATTGTTGTATCACATTCCAAAGATGGTCAGATCATTTTTTTGTCTGAATTTGAAAGCTTATTTCAAATGCTTCTTAAAGGTACTTTCCTATAATGGCATCTGGTGTAGAGCTGGGATAAAGCTGAAAAGTAGGGATCAGAAATGCGGGTATTTGAGCAAAGCTGGTTTGGCCAGGGAAACAGATACAGCAAAGTTATCCATGAATCCATGCGGGAAAGAAAGCCCGTTCCCCATGGCCATGGAGCATTCATCGTTCCTAGTTTGAGCTCCAGATGGCAAGGAATAATGCAAAATTTGGAAGGGCTGGAAAATTCTTCCAATTAGTGTTCATAGTTCATTTTATAGTGGAGATTTTTAGAAATGGGAATCGGATCCCCGGTGAGAAGGATCGGCAAAGGGAGGGGTGTTACTGGCAGCTCAGGTAAGCAAGCACACCAAGATTTGAGGGAGAGCCCCCTGCAGTCTGGATGTGTGTGATGTGAGGTTGCCAAAGAATGGAAGAACAACAACAACAATTCAGTTCAAGGCAAAAGCCCAATCTTAAGTTGGGCCAGTTGGGATAGAGTGAGACAATTCTTTGACTTCCAACCACTGTGGCTGTTCCCAGCTCTTCCCTGTTAGACTTGATAGTTTGCTGTTGTAATTCCAAACCCAATCAGCTGGCACTATTGAGCTTCCTGTTACAACTGGCTCAGGGACTGGAGTAGATGCAGACTTATATGTCAATAATCAACTGTAGTTTGAAGAGTAAGGAAGAGAATGTCAAGGGCTGACTCAATCACTGAGTCTTGGAAATTTCTGTTGAGTTTCGCCACACTTGCCATCATCAGATTAGAACTAGCAGTACCCACAGGTGCACAGTCCCTGAGCCAGGCTTTTAGACAGAAAAGAATGTGTATGTGAAGGCCAGCACTTCAGCGATTGTGATCAGGAAATAAAATATACAAGGGCTCAGTTGTCTGTTGGGGATTGGTCCTAAATTAGTTGCAACTACACAGTTTTTTAAAAACGATTGGAACTCGGTGGTAGACTGCTTCTACTAAAATAGTGGAAGGGAATTCCTTCATACATAGAAAACTCAGCATGTTAGGTGGGGGAATCATTGCATTAGACACTTGCCACGGTTTCTTTTGCAAAGTTGAAATGAACACATTTCTATCTGTAGTTAGGAAGAGAAGGAAGAAGTAATGTGGGGGAAAGAAAAAAGTAGTGAGGAAGAGTGTTTGATGAAGAACTTCCATCTCCACTGCATTTCCCTTCCTCTGTTCCCCCACCCCCTGCAGGCAGCAGAATATTCTATTTTTTTTAAAACGGGTGGGGGAGGACCACTGTTTGCAACATTTCATGTCTCATAAGCAGGATTGCTAATACCTTCCCAGGGACCATTAGAGCACACTGCTGCATTCCATTAATTGCTCAGCAGATGTTCAGCAGCCTTCTTTTAAAAACGTTTGAGCCAGAATATGTTGCTGGCGAGAGAAGCAATGCATAATTTGGTTTGTCTCCAAGGAAAAAGAACTGTCTCCTTTCAGGAATTTACTAGCCTTATTTTGTCTTTCAAATTCAGCTCCCTGTTAGCTTTTATGGGAACACAAGGTAAGCACTGCCAGATACCTGGGTGTCATTAGGGACCAGAGGAGAGAACAAAGACCCTCCCGTTCTGTGGGGGAATTCATTAACTTTGCTATCTAAGCTGAGCTCAACTTTGAACACAGCCCTTGTTTTGTTCTCAGCCATCCCTGTGCTTCTCGCTTCCTGTGCAATTTCTCTCATACTCAAACCACTCTTGACAGATAAGTTGCCGAAATTCTTTTTGCAGAAAGGAGAGATGTACAATTGTATGAGAGCAGGGAGAGAATGAGAAACTCTTGCCAAGAAGGTTGACGAAGGGCCATGGCCAGCGTGCCTGTTTGGCTTTTAGAACCTGATGGTGGCTGGCATTGATGTTAGCACACAAAGGCTAAGAAGATGTTGCCAGACAACCTGGAGAGTTGGAAAAAAGAGTAGGAATCAATCAAGCTGGGTATTGGACTGGACACACTGGTGTTCTGACCGAAGTATACCTTTGCTCATTCTATTCCTGACTGGAATGTTTCTCATCTCTTCTCCACCTGTCTGCATCTCCTGGGTATTTGTATTTTAAGGCTCAACTCATTGCCAGCCTGCACACGATGTCTTTCTAGAGACCTTTATCTGGATGTCATTTATCCCTTGGCTGAACTCACATGGTTCTTTAAAATTGATATCATCATCATCATCATCACCATCATCGTCATCATCATCACCACCACCACTACTCTTATTTAACTTACCAAGGACACAGTTTAGCATATCTTAGTATTGTCTCCACCATGGTACCCAGCAGAGAACTTGCAACATATCAGGTGCTCAGTAAATATTGCTTTCGTAAATAATTAGAGATATAACCAATTTATAAGGTGTAGAGATACATTCAAAATTCCATTCTCCAGTTAACCTGCAGAGTCTGTTTATTTAATTGTGAACTGGTCCCTTGGCATGCTACTTCCTACCAAATAACTGGTGAGTGGAGCCTTGCATTCATTTAC